GGAACCTATAAAAGAGTGGTTTGTAGCTTGAGAGTGGGAGCATGAATGTCTAGGTCACAAATGTAAAGAACGTGAACGTGAATGTCTTTCGGAGCAAGATCGTGAGCTAGTAGTAGATGGAACAGTACGAGAAATAGGACTAGGAGACTCAGCTCCAGCACATCTATCTGGAACAGGACGACCAGAACTGGTGCCTGCTCTCAGTGTCGCATCTATAATCAAGCCACGAGTCTGTGAACAGGTATGAATCACTCTAGACATAGTCAGCATTAAAGGAACAACTTGAGTGCAAAATACTGTCAGAACATGGCAAGGAAGGAACATGCCTGTCTGGACCTTTCCCTGGAAGGGAGGCTGGAGGTGAAGGACAAGTGGAGGGACCATGGCCTCAGTGACTCAGAGAGGAGTGCTGTGCCTATGTTTGGTAACGCTAGTGTTGGGTCCTTAACTTCAGAACGAGGGGGCATGAACTCTGGGGGGATCTAGTCATCAATTTTGCGCTGAAGTGCCATCAACTATGATACATGACTTATATACATAATACAAGACAAATAAGAACAAAGGGAAAACCCAAGATGGACTTACCCACTTGCCGGGTTGGCGAGCTTGTGAGAGAATTGCCTTATTGATCACTGTGGAGTGGGTAGATGAAGGGTGGGATTAGCAACAGCTATTGGATAGTGGGAAAACCTTTGTGGGGTTGGCAGAGGTCCTAGGAGGTCCGTAGTAATATTGGGTAGGTAGAGATATTAATAAACTTCTATGATGAGGATAAGGGGTACCAGAGAAGGTACCGGAGATTGGAGGTGGAGGTGAACCGGAACGGTGGTGGAGTAGGTCAGAGGCTGGGCAGAGTTGGTATGGATATGACAACCATCCCATACCCCGAACTCAGACACTGCTCATACCTCCACTCTGAGCTCCTGTCATGGTCCCAACCTCGGACTTTGACTCCACCTTGGCTTACGTCCATTGCATTGGTGACCTCATTTCATGTAAACACCATTGCCAATATTCCTTGGACTTCCAACCCCATCTCTGCAAGCTCCATAAGCTCCACTACCTCTGAGCTTCACAGACCATCCTTGGCACCTTTGCTGCTTGTAGTATATACTTTGCACTTCTCCCTCACCCCTATTTAGACTACTGCTTCTTTTCATTTAGCCATTAGTCATCACCCCCACTTCCCCTCATCCTCCTGCCCCTCTGGGCTTCACCCTCCTTTCAGATGTACCATAGAGTCTAACCCTTGACCCTCAGTACCATTCTGCTTCCATAATCCCCTTTGTCTCTGTTCAGACACCTTTGTTCTGTTTTGGACCACCTTTGTTTTCCTGTGCTTTCATCTCTCTGTTATATGTACATACTCGATTAACCCTCAATCTAGAATGCCCCCCAGAGACTACTACCTTTCTATGTCTGAAATCAAGGACCAAACAGACAACCAACAATGGCACAGCACTCCCCTTGAGTCACTGAGGCCAAGGTCCCTCCTCACTAAGTCTCTGGTTCCACTCTGGAATTGTCTGCACTTACCCTGTTCTAACAGGAGGGGACACTCTGCAAGCATCAGTTGGTTCAGGGTTTTGACATAACAAGCATTGCCCCATTGGCCAGACCCACAAACATGACCTCAATAGCCTACTTACTTGAATTTGGCCACCCCAATGTTGTTTTAGACCTTGCATGTAAGTACATGTCCAGGCCCCCCCCTGGCATACCTTTCAACTGGGAAATGCTGACACCCCCTTGCATGCAAGTCTGCACAGGAGCCACCTTAGGTAGATTTCCCTCAATTCCTCCCTTTGTATATATGCATGAACCTTAACCATTAGATCATAATGATAGTTTGTATAGTGTCAACTACAGCTGAGTTAATAATGTCAGCATTAGAGTTATGTTTAGAAAAGAAAGACTATGTAGTGTGAGCTCAGTCAGACTCAGAGAAGAGTTCTTGTTGGAGGGCAGTACATGTAGTGCCTTTAGGCACTAGTGTGACCTCTTCCAGACATTGCTGGAAGGTTTGAATTACTTAGTTAGGCCATGTGACTTGTTCCCAAAGTCATGCTTCCTTTCTTATTTTGGCTATTTCGGACTTATCTGTGATGGCTGCATACTATATTCAATCATTTGAGTTAATTTCTTTTTCCCTCAGTTCTCATGCATTATTGCTTGAGACTGAGGTCAGTTACTTGCTCTTTATTTCTACATCTTGTTACTCATTGTACATATATTTATATTATCCAACAATTATTCTGTTAGTTCTGAGTGGAAGGTCTGCTGTAAATGTGATGTTCCAAATATGATAACCCACTTCAGCAGCTCACTTGCAGTCCAGAATGTACTTTTCTCAATAATTTACTGGTTGATTCAGTCCCAAATTATATATTTTGGAAGCTATTCAAATGGGCTATTCATTAATGTAAAGTGTGTTGACACTGTGGGAAACAGTCCTGACACCCCTTTAGTGTCAGGGCACACCTTCTGGGCAGCAGCATAAGTAGTGCAGTGCCATTTAGCCTGGATTCCCACATAGTTCTTCTTCTTCTTCACTTCTTGATCTCTGGTGTAGGAGAAATAACAGTATTGGTTGTTTATTGGCATGCAAGTATAAGTGCCACCTATGCCATGTGAAGTCCCATTGTAACAGTGTGCCTAAGCATCAAGATGTGGTGCAATGCATAGCAACATGTTGTCAGAAATTGGGAATCGCCGTTGCAATGCGTTACAATGATTTCTGAGGCTGTATCCATTACAACGCTGTAGGAGCGCATAACGGGTGTGCTCAATTTCATGGAACCTTATGCAGCAAATACATCAAAATTGGGCTCCTGCCCTTGTACATTATTAGGAAAAAGGAATCATAGGGGGGAGTAATAAGAAGGAAGAAAAAGGGTTTTCTTACGAACCGAAAGAGCCTTTTTGCGAAGGAATTGGTGGAGATTTGGTGGAGAAAGTCAACCTGAGATGTCCTCATGTGCATAGTCCATGCACTTGACTGCAACCATGGAAACAAGGTCAAAAGTTGACGGAAGAGGACGATCTTGGCGGTCATTAAATCCATAAAAATGCCCAAAGACTCAGTATTAAATTTCACCCTAATCGGTTCAGTGGTTGTGGAGATATTCTGATTATCAGGCATGATGGGAGTCACAGGATGATATGAACTATGCAGATGCTCACATGCAAGCTAGTCTCAGTGAAATTCCAAGGGAATACGGGCTAGTTAAATGATACGAATGCTAAAGAAGTCATTGGAGAGGTCTTGGAATTATGGCATATTATTTGGTCCAAGTTTCCCTGTGCACGGATAATCAAGATATATATTTCATGACAGAGAATTCCCATTCTCAGTCAAATCTCCACCAAATTTCACAAAATCGGTATCGTTAGAAAGCTATGGATGAGGAGAGTCGAATGGAATAAAGGGACGGAGTTTTGACGCAGTGTTTGGAGTGGTATGAGGAAGTTTGTGTTTTTCTTTTCATTTTCTTTTGTTGTTTGGAATTTTATTCTAAGCCAACAGCAGCTGAACCTTACTGTTGTTGTTGGTGGAGGCTTAGCTCAGCCAAACCCATATATTTCGGACTCTTTTCATAAGTTGTATGTCTGGTGTATGGGTATATGTACCTAGTGATTGAAACAGAATAGACAATTCCCCCTCTCCCTCCATTTTTGAAGTCTGTGTACTAGTGTGTTGTGAGCGGCCACTCGACTGGTAAGGCCCTTAGGGAAATCCACCACGACAAGAAATTCATAGTGTTACCTTGAGTTCCCCCCCCTAGTTGATTTCACGGACCTGTCAATCATGACACCCCTAGCCCCTGTCATTCCCATACAACTCCGGACCTCCACTCCTGATTCTGGACCTCCATCTTGTGATAACTGTGCAGTGTGATACCTCAATTAGTTAGGTATGAGTAGTGATGGACGGACTTGCCTGTGCAGCGTGATACCTCAATTAGTGAGGTATCAGCTGCTAGCGCAAGTCCGGTCCTTATATACATCTTGTAATGACTCTATGCCACTGAGGTGAAACATGAGTGGTAAACAACAAGTTGAAAACAAAAGCACAAAAACAAAGAGTCAAAGAGGTTGCTGCTGTTTGTGCCTCAAAGCGCCCCTCCCCTTCCCAAAGCATGAATGTCTGGCCTGGGTGACTCCCTTGACCACCAGTGGCGTTGGGCTGCAACTTCTAACACTCCCCCACAGTCCAATGTCCACGCATCTATCTAGGCCACGAACTCCATCCCAAGCATCAGGCAGAAGCGATCATGCTTTGCCTTGACTAAGGACTTCATAAGTACATCAGCCGCCATATCATTCGTTCCAATAAGCTTCAAATCAACCGTTCCATCTGTGACACATTCCCATATGAAATGATACCTGACGTCGATACTTTTGGTCACAGCGTGATTGACAGGGTTTCGAGCAAGTAGGTTTGCAGCTTGGTTATCAATGTGTAACGTGGTTGAGCTGGGCATTCCTTCATGTAATTCCTCCAGGAGGCGTTGAAGCCAGACTACTTCTTTGGCTGCTTCAGATGCTGCAACATACTCCACGTGTGTTGAGGATGATGCTATGCCAGCTTGCTGCTTTGACATCCACAAAACCACTCCCCCAGATAAAAGAAAGGCATATCCAGATACTGACTTTCTGTTTACCATGTCATTCACCCAATCTGCATCGGTGTGTCAGGGCAACCACACCTGACCATACAACCCCAGAACCACCTTCCCTGACCTCCCCCCACCTCCCTGATCCTCCCATCTTTACACACCTTTCACAACTACAGCCCGCATGTGAACCTGCAGGAAAAATCACGTGGGTCAAGGCGAGCAACTCGCCTTAACCCATGTGACACCTTTTCCGCATCGCGGGAACATGCTCGGCTCCTACCCCTAGTCATGTTACGAACTGTACAGTACATTTCCCTTTTATAGTCGCCAAGCGGGGAATAGGGAAACTTACCCTTCTTCTCAATTCAATCCCCGCTTATGTCATATCCCGGAATCCCGACCCCGCGCACTCCCACCACACCACACCTTCCTAACAACTTCACCATCCCCTACACCATGCCTCCCCACTCCCCAAGTCACCTTCCCTCCTGACTGTCTCAGCTCCAGTCTGGTTGCGGTACACCGAACCTTGGCCACTCCCATCCCGGAAGCTCGGTCCCGAGTCGGAACATTCGGAGATCCCGGATTTGCTCCAATATCCTGACGGACCTCCGACATCCCGTGACATGCCCTTAAACTATTCCTCCACCCGTTTCGTTTGTTTGAGTCACCTAACATCCTTTGGATACGCAACTCCACTTTCAGAGCTACCTGCATCCTTCGGTGATCTCCCTCACGTTATCACTTATTAGTCACCTTCCATTCTTAGCACGACTACCTTCTTACTACCATTCAGTCGGCTAACCTCCTTTACCCATTTGTCTTCCCCATTCATTTTCCAGCCTCCAACTCCGCCCTCCTTGGCCTGACACCTCGGTTCCCCATTTAAAATATCGTTCAGGACCTTTCGGTACCTCTCGGTATCATTCGGCACCTTTCGGTGTTGTCCCATTTGTCATTTCGGACTTTGACTAAGTCCTCGCCATTCTCCTTTATAAATACCCATAGATTAGAACCTGTAGTTCCTCAGTTCTAATCTCGACTAAAATGCCACCCAAAGTCCCTCTGAGTGAATCCTGTTCCTGTTCTACAAGATACCTCAGACATAAGAAATACAAGGACTAACTGAGACGTAACGGAGGCACAGTGCTCCCTCCGAGTCGCTGAGGCCGTGTCCTTCTTAGAGCCTCTTGTACCACCCAGCAGAACCGGGCTCCCTGAGAAGCTTCGGTTCACTACCGGAGCCCTCGGACCCCCCTCTAGTTGAGCCCTGCCTGCATTCGGACTCACGCATTTACCCCCTTTCGAACTCGGGTTTTTGACAGCTTAGGCAAGTTGTAGCTACCTTCCATAATACATGACAACTCAATCCCCACTTAGTGAGTTTGAGGAGCTTGGGGTAGGATCCAGCACCTGGCTGCCTGGGACACCGTGAGTGTCCAGTTCTGAGGTAGGGCCACCCCCAGACAGAGGCCGGGCCCTGACATGGTGTAACCTACGAGGTCCCTGCTCCCAGCTGTATATACTATCCCTCGGTTCATAGTCCCCACAAGATATTTCATTATGTGCCTAAGTCCCTCGATGTGTTCTTGTCCGAAGGTTGATGCGAATGGCGCCAGCACTCTCACGGATGTGCAGATGTCTGGACGGGTTCCTAGAGCAGCATACATGAGAGATCCGATGACTTCGAGGAAGGGGTATGAGGAAACTCTCAAATGGTCTTCCGTTGGTACTGGTTTGTAGTGTATCCCAGTGGGTAATGGCATGGTGCATGGCGTGCAATCTGTCATGTCGAAACGAGCAAGAATATCCTTGATATACTGCGACTGGTCAATCGATAGCATGCCAGCCGATATGTCTTGGTGAACTCGGATCCCAAGGATCCATGATGCTTCCCCTTTGTGAAACGGTCCCCGATGGTGTCTTGGATAGATGTAAGCAGTTTTTCGTCATTTCCAGCAAGGAGTTTGTCGTCAGCGTAGACAGGAATGATTACAATGGATCATCCTCATTTGAATACGAAGACTGAGTGGTCAGCATGTGTTTGACAAAATCCAAGGTGAATCAAGAAGTCATGTAAGGTTGCATACCACTCCTGTCTGGCTTGCTTCAATCCATAGAGCCCCTTCTTAAGTTTTGCAACCATTTGTTCCCTCCCCTTTTCCTCATATCCCTTTGGTTGATGCATGTATATATCTTCCGAGAGCACCCCGTTGAGATATGCCGATTTGATATCCATCTGGCAGACTTTCCAACTGTGACAGGCACATATGGCAAGAAAAACGCGTAGGGAGGCTGATTTCACGATGGGGGTGAACGTCTCTGAGTAATTGATCCCCTCCCGTTGACCAATGCCTTGAGCCACCAGATGAGCCTTAAAAAAGGTTACCTTTCCATCAGTGCCACGCTTCTTGGTGAGCACAAATCAACAGCCGATGACGTTACGGATACTTGGAGATGGGTCAACCAGATCCCAGGTGCCAGTGTCCCAGATGGCAGCAAGCTCTTCTAGCATGGCAGCATGCCATTGGTCCTGCTTGGGGCCAGCCAATGCTTCCCACAAGGTCGGAGTGTCTGGCAGATCGGCGTCTTTATCTAATATGGGGTTCGCCAGATGGGCCTCATCCAACACAATATCCAGGATGTCTTCCATGGTGACAGTCGCTGCAATCGGTACCTCATTCAGGAAGTCTTCATACACATTGGCAATCAGGTCCTTGTGCTGGCCATGTGCACTGTAGTCTGATGGGTCGAAGCGATGAGGTGGACATCGTTCCCTCTGTGGTCGAGCAGTGGGCTGGGTGGCAGCAGGAGGTACAGTAGGGGGTACAGGCGGAGATGTGGGTCTGGAAGATGCCGCCTCAGTCAGGTGATCTGAGTCATCTGACTCATCACCAGAATCATCATGTGCCCTTGACTCAAAGACGGCACATGGCTGGATCTTTGCCTCCTCCTGGAAGATAGGCGAGCAGATGATCTTGACCTTGTGGGTCAGCTCATCATATGCCTTATACCCAGAAGAATTCTCTGGATACCCCAGAAACTTAGCTGGTCGCCCCCTCTCCCCCAACTTCTGCACTCCCAAATCTTTCGGCTGATGAATAAACATGTTAGCGTACCAAACCCTCATGTGCACGACACTTGGCTTCCTTCCGTGGAATCGTTCAAAGGGCATCATTGTATTCAACTGGGTATCAATGGTCCGGTTCATAGCGTAGACAGCTGTGGCGAAAGCGTCAGCCCATAAGTTTGGAGCCTCAGCGTCCTTCAGCAAGGTGCATCCTTTATCCAAGATCTTCCGATTAGTCCATTCAGCCACTCCATTTTGTTCAGGGGTGTGCGGAACTGTCTGCTCCATGGCAATTCCCTTGTCTTTACAATACATCCGAAGGGTCGAGTTCAAGTACTCTCCTCCTCCATCCGTCCTCAAAACCTTGACATGGGACCCATACTGATTCGCAAAGTGTGTGTCCATCTTGATGAACCACCCTGTGAAATCTGACTTAAGTGAGCACGGATAGAACCAGGTGAAACCTGTCTTGTCGTCCACAAGTGTGCAGAAATATTGCCTCTTTCCAAGTGACATCACCTCCATCGGCCCGCAGATATCGGAGTGTATTCGCCCTAGTCTCTCACCAGCAACCTCATGTCCCCTTCCAAACGATCCCCCATCATCTTTCCCCTGATACACGCTTCACAATCGAAACCTCTCGAGTCATCCCAAACATCTTCCATTCCCAGAACCGACCCACTCTTTATCATAATTTCCTTTAATGCATCCTTCCCAGGGTGGGCCAGGCATTTGTGGAGAAGGTCGAAGGAGGGGGTGGAGGCTTCCGCAGCCGGGTTTGCCCTTTCGGATGCAGTGGGTGTCAGCTGCGAGGTTGGGTAATTCAGGTAGAACATCGGTGCAAGTTCTTTTAGCGTTTCGGTGATCAGCTTCCCATCTTTTTCAATCCTGCAGACATTGTCAAGGCCAAAGGTAATCCGGGCACCCCGACGGATGAGGACTCTACAGGAAAGGAGACTGTACTTGAGACTAGGTACATACTGTACGTCTGGTATTCGACAGGTGAAGCGCCTCCCTCCGGCAGTGCAGGCGATCAAGATGGTCCCCTCCCCAAGCGAGGGAATGCGGCTATCGTTTCCCAAGGCAATCTGGTGTGGAGGATCAAAAGGTGTGTATTCCACAAAGTTGTTTTTGTTTGGGCAAAAATGGTTACTGCATCCTGAGTCCACGATCCAGGGTTTCGGCATGTCTGTGTTCCTGTCGGTGACCAGTGCAGTGTCCATGATATGTTCAGCACATAGAGCCTTTTTGTCAGGGATTGCTTGTCAGTCCGAGTCGAATATCGCCCGAACACCTAGTTGTAGACAAAGCTGAGGTTCCAACTGTCATATCCATGCATACCCGACCCCGACCCGACTTCCGGACCTCCTCCTTCTCCACCTCCGGAGTCCTACCCTACTGCCGCCCGTTCCGATACTCACCTTCGGTCCTGGCAACACACCTCCTCTTACCTCCGATGCCACCCCCACTCCTCCTTCCCTCTCCTCCCCTATCTCCGTCTGCTCCAATACTCACCTTGGACCGAACACCCCCCCTCTTGCCACCCTCCTCCTACTCCTCCGCTCCGCCCCCACAAAACCTCCACCCTTCTGTCATCCTCCTACACTCCTCCCATCCGCTCCGATACTCACCTTCGGACCTGACAACTCCCCTTTCTGCCACTCCTTCCCTCTTCCCTTTCTCCTCTCTCTCCCCTCTGGTACTCTCCTGCCGACCTCCCACCAAGTTACGACCTTCCACCGCTGTCCAGTACTTCGTACTTGGGCACTGATCGTACCTTTGCTCTGAGCCTCCGTCATAGTCCCTACCTCGGACTTTGACTCCACCTCAGTCTTAGTCCATTGCATTGGTGACCTCATACTATGTAAACACCATTGCCAATATTCCTTGGACTTTCAACCCTGCCTCCATAACCTCTGTAAGCTCCGCAACCTCCAAGCTTTGCAGATCACCTTCGGCACTTTTGCCGCTTGTAATGTATCTCTCGCGTTTTCCCCTCATCCCTATTTGGACTGCTGCTTCTTCCCATTCTAGCCAGTTAGTCATCATCCCCACTTCTCACCATCCTCCTGCCCCTCTGGGCCTCACCCTCCCTACCTCCTTTCAGACATATCACAGGTTCTGTCTTATGACCTTCAGTACCACTCTGCTTCTGTCTACCCTTTGTTCCTGTTCGGACGTCTTCGTTCCAATTCGGATCCCCTTTGTTTCCTTGTGCTTTTGCCCCCTCCATTATATATATTGGCGCTTGTACATACTCATTTTGACCTCAGTCCGAAATCGACCTGAAATGCCCCCTAGAGACTTCCTGCTCGCCTACTGTGAAATTAAGGACCAAATGGACAAACGGCAATGGCACAGTGCTCCACTTGAGTCGCTGAGGCCAAGGTCCCTCCACGCTAAGTCTCCGATTCCACTCCGGAGTCGTCTGAATCTGCCCCTTTCTAACACCAACCCTCAGCAGCACATAGAGCTATATACACAAGTGACATCAATCAATCGGAAGAGATAGGATCAAAGGAACTAAACAATGATCCGATAGAAAACGAAGTGAATAGAGATGAAGGAACACTCGGATCAGGGGGCAGAGTTGGATCAGGAGAAGGTGAGGGATTTACGATATATGAGGGCTGATGCAGCTACATGCGGTGATATAGTCTTACGCAATATCGATAGGGTAACAGAGAACTGCTTACGCTATGTCCCCTGACACTTTTCCTTGACACTTTTCCTTGGAGTCCTCAGTAGTGTTTGCACTTTCTTTTTCGGCAGCTCTCTTTTTCTGGTAAGTTTCCTTTTCGGCTTCTGTTGCCATGCACTTTGTGCAAAGATGGCCGGTCTTTCCACAACTCCAACATGTTTTGCACGTTAGCCAAGATGGA